TTTGGAGTTGTGTGGAGAGGGAGCAGCAGACGCATCTGGAGGCAATCAGGGATGATCCTCAGGCTATGTGGGCGAAGCTGGAGGCTGTTCACATGCAGAAGCGACCAGGTACGAGGTTCAACACCTACAATGCCCTCCTCAGCCTTTCCAAGGCAGAAGACGAGTCCCTATCCTCCCTGGCCACTCGAGCTATCCAGCTCAAGTCCGACATGCTCGCCCTACGCCCTCCCAGCTTCACCATCACCCAACTCGACGATGAGCTTGTCCTTATGGCTCTAATTCGCGCCCTGCCTGTTGAATACACCTCCCTACGCCACACCCTGCTCCTGGACGACTCCCTCACCCTTGACAAGCTTCAGGACATCTTTGTTTCGCTCGAAAATCAGCCTGGAGCGTCCCCACCCGTCCCTGCCCTCTCTAATGCCGCCACATCGCTCTCCTGCACCTTCTGCAGTCGATCTGGCCATTCCGAGGACCAGTGCTACGCTAAACGCGATGCCAGTGTCAAAGCGAAAGAACGTGCTGCTCAACGCTCACAGTATCGCTCCAACAAGTCCAGAAACAAGCAGGAGGCGTCCCAGGCTTCGAACGACACATCCAGGACACAGGGGACACCCCAGGAGTCCGCTGGTGCGGCCACTGTGAGTGCTGGTTGCGCTCTTGCCCTCTCCTCTTCAGCAGATCGCTCTACCTGGCTCGCTTCGCCTGCTGCTGCTAACTGGAACACCGACACAGGTGCATCTGCACACATGACACCACACCGCCACTGGTTTCGCTCCTACTCACCCCACAATGTCCCCATTCGACTCGCCAACTCGCACATTGTCTACTCGGCTGGATTGGGGTCTGTAGTGTTTCAACCTGCGTCTAGAGGCGGCGTTTTACCCCCTGCTGTCGTTCTGCACGATGTCCTTCATGTACCTGCGCTTGGAAGCAATCTACTGTCTGTGTTTCACCTCACTCGCCAAAAGGGCTACACTGTCGAGTTACAGGCCGCCTCTGTGCTGTTCTATCACCAGGGCGAGTTGCGCTTCGAGGCCAAGGTCGACGAGCACAACAGAGGCTACCTCCTAGGCCATACCATTGCTCAGCCGAAGAATGTGCTCTCTGCCTCCACCGCTTGCGAGGAGGACCTCGATCTTTGGCACAGACGTTGCTCGCACGTCAATCTAGACGATCTCCGCTCCATAATTCGAAAGGACCTCGTTCAGGGCCTCACCATCCGCTCCAAGCGTCCACCCAGCCCCATCTGCGAGCCTGTTGGCTGCAGTGGGCCTCAGAGGGGTCACAATGGCCTAAGTCGAGCTCTGTAAGTCTTCTCATTGCAAGGAAACTGTGCTACACACCTAAGTCGAGCTCTGTAAGTCTTAAGGACTGCAGAGTCGACTAAGGCGCAGATGACGGCGCACAGAGCGCGTGGGAACTAGCTAACACGACCATACACTACGTGGCGCTGGAATGGCGCCAAACGGACCAGAAGTGCGTAAGGTAGACACTATTCTAGAGTGCAGTCAGATCTATAGAAATGGAGACTACTAGTGAAAGAAATGCGGTATCTGTATGGAAACGAGAGTTGTGACTATACGAAAATTACCGTAGATAGCGGACAGCGCGAACTATGTATGGCGCAATGCGGGACTTGGTGCGATTAAAATCGACGGCGCTACAGCACCGACTCCAACAGAGCCATGCCTTGCTGGCAAGCTAAATCGCCACCCCATCCCTCGTTTCGCCTCCCGGAGGTTTGTTCGTGTCGCCCTGGTCCACACAGACCTCAAAGGCAAGCTGCCTGTCCCTTCGCCTGAGGGCTACC